TATGTGTCTGTTTGCCTGCCTGTCTATATGTTTGGACTTGCTTCCTCTTGATGAGGGCTACCTAGTTTGTGCATGCAGAACATGCGCGTCGACCACTCACCTCCCATCCGCACGACTGTTTCCACCATGGTTGCGTGCACAGGCATCTTTATTCGTGACGTGCGGCCGGGCAGCGCAGCGGATCGGAGCGGGCTGCTGGCGATTGGCGATGTGATTACGGCGGTCAACTCGCTCCCGCTGACACAGCCAACACGCGCACAAGTCGAGCAGGTCTTCGCCACCTCTGGCAACGTGCTGGAGCTCACCATCGCCGGCTTTGTGTCCCCTGAAGCCATGGACTCCTATCTGGAGTCACAAGGCATGGCCGCGAGCGACCAGTCATCCGGCAGCATGGTTGGCTTTTGCGTCTCCCTTCTCAAGGCCGTGCTTGCCTTGCCCGTCCTGTTCAGCATCTTCCTGCTCTCGGTCTTCGAGGGCTTCTCGCGTGTTGTTCTCTGGAACACGCGCAAGCTCCTCGACTCCAACCTCTCCGATCAACGCGCCGACCCAGACAACTTTCTCTTTGACATCATGATGGCCATCTGGTGTGTGTGTGTGTGTGTGTGTGTGTGTGTGTCTGTGTGTGTGTCTGTGTCTGTGTCTGTGCGTGCGTGTGTCTGTGTTGGTGTAAGTTCTTGTTTGTGCTTGTCGAACGATGTGAGGCGAATGTGGATCGTGACGCCGCCGCATCATACAAACGCGCACGCACGCACGCGCACGCACGCACGCACACGCACGCTCTCACACACTCACAATCTCACACACACAATCTCACTCACGCACTCACACCAGGTATGGGTTTGTGTTTCCTTCGAGCGACTACGGCTTTGCGAGGCGTGTTCGGTCTCACCCGGAGGAGGAGATTGCGGCTTTGACACAGGTGCGCACCCACGCAGTGAAGACGAGCGTGGTGGACAAGAAAGGGGGACAAGGCAGATGGTGGCAACAGCAGTGCTCGCCATGGTCAACCCGCTCGCCTTGCTCAAAACCTAACGGCTCACCCCACTCAACATGTACTCATTATCCCCCCCCCCTTCGCCAACACTGACCATGCCAGGAGAGCTTGCCTGGTGGGATGACGGAGAATCTAGCGGCACCGTCGCCGCAGAGCACGCAGGTCACGTCGGTCAGCCCTGCGTCGGGCTGGAGGAGCGATGCCGACAGCCGTTAAAGCAAACACAGAGAGAGAGAGAGCATAGAGAGAGCACAGAGAGAGAGCGACAGAGCGCGCACACACACACACACACACACACACACACACACACACACACACACACACACACACACACACACACACACACACACACACACACGAGAGCACACACACACACACACACACACACACACACACACACACTTCTTTGCTGAGTCAGAGCCGATTGTGTCCTTTGAAAGTTTGAAGTTGTGACCCAACCCTTGATGCCTATTTTTGTACAGCGCAAACGTTTCGCGTGTGTCACAACCGCCATTCCATCACACTGTCGTTTTGCATGTGCCCACTTCTTCTTCTCGGCCTTGCTTGACCTTTTATGGTCGTTGTTGGCGCATTGACACATCGCTGTGGTTGGTGGCATGGTTACTGCTGCCGTCCATGCGTCTTGCTAGCGGTGTGCTGCGCCGTTATCCAAAAATAGAAGCGCGTAACTGACAGTGACATCGAGCCAAGCGGCAGAAGGTTCGGCGCACATAATACAGAACCTGAGGCGTCAAGTCGCAACGGGTGATCGTCTAAACATAGCTCAGGCTCAGACCCACAACAACAGAACAACAACCACAGCAAACGGGAACCAAAATACTTTTCAGATTGTGCTGCAGCAGTTGCCATTTCCCCAGCCTTCCCTCTCCAGCTCTCCAGCTCTCCAGCTCTCCAGCTCAAGCCCAGTGCTCCACTGCCTCAGTATCAGTGCCTTGCCCTTGCCTTCCCGCACCACAACACTCGACTTCCAGCTTCCCCTCCCCCCAGGCTCACACATACACGAACCAAAGAACAGACATGGCCCTGAAACGGCTGCTGAAGGAAGAAAAAGACCTTGCCCGGAGCCCCCTTGACACGTGTTCTGCCAGCCCTGTGGATGGAGACTACTTCCACTGGTCTGGCGTCATCCTCGGCCCAAAGGACAGCCCATATGAAGGCGGCTGCTTCTTCGTCGACTTTTCTTTCCCGCCAGATTACCCATTCAAGCCCCCAAAGGTCAGCAGTTCCTCAATCTTGGTTGTTCGTTGTGTGTGACTGCTGTTTGTTGGCCGCTGCCATGCGAACGAGAGGTGGCAGCGGGTAGCTGCGTCTAGTGCGTCTGGTAGTGTTTTCTTCGTGTTGTTCTGAGGTTGTGACGTTATGCCACGCAAGTGTTTGATTCCGCTTCCGAAACCCGCGAGCGCGACGCACTTGTTTACCACACTGAGTTGAGGAGATGAGACTGTTCAGTCTTTGGCAATTGAAGTATTGAATCTCATCATCTCATCATATCGTGCCATGTCACTCACTGCACGCATATGTAGGTTTGGTTCCGCACAAAGGTGTATCATCCGAACATTGCAGAGGATGGGCGAATCTGCCTGGACATCCTCAAGTCCGCATACACACCCGCCCTCACCGTCGGCAAGGTACTTGTGCACACTTGCAAACGTGAGGGAAAAGGAGCGTTGAGTGGAGAGTTTGAGAGCTTGGGAGCTTGGGAGCTTGAGAGCTTGAGAGCTTCAGAGTTTGTGCGGAGAAGATATGCATACTGTGTAATGTGACGAGGAGGAGGAAGGGAGAACAACACAAGAGATTTCACCACCACCACAGTCGTACTTGTTCCTTCCGTCCCTCGCCAAGCACAGCAAAGCATGCAAGCACTCACACACGCACACACATTCATACATTTCACACACACACACACACATTTCACACACACACACACACACACACACAAATCTTGCTTGTTCGTAGTTGCTGCTCAGCATCCAGTCTTTGTTGACGGATCCCAATGCCAACGATCCTCTTCGCCCAGACGTCGGCAAGCAGTACCTCCACCATCGCGACAAGTTCACGAAGACAGCCCAGGAGTGGACTGTGAAATACGCCGTGTGAGCGAGCGCGAGCGCCGCATACGGCTTGTCAAATGGTATTGTGTTCCTGTCTTTCTGTATGAGTGTCGTGTAGTCATGCACCGCCTCCCCCTCCCCTCCTTGCCTGCAAGCATAGTCTCTTCTCTTCATCGCCCCCTCCCCTCCTTGCCTGCAAGCACCATCTCTTCTCTTCACCGCGCTTTTCACCTTCACCTCCACCACGACTTGTGTTGATCTCTTGTTCAATGTGAAGGCGCACGGCAGGGCGCGAACAACGCGCACTCGTTGCATCTTCGTGCTCAACCCCTTCTACACACTTGTCTCCTCCTGCCACCTCCGGTCCAAGCACTCTCGCCACAACTCAATACACACGCCAACACACCACAGTGAAAGCGACACTTGAACCAACACGACCTGCATGACAAAAGAACAGAGAAACAGAGAAACAGAGAAACGTCACACATGACAAATCACTTCATTCACGCAAAGCAAGTCCAGGCAGGCAATTGGACAAAGGATAGAGTATCCTGCAATCCGAAATGAACAAAAAGAAAGCACTGGTTGGCAGGGTGAACATGCGTGCAACGCTTGTCTACAATGGAAGGCATGCGCATCCACTCAAAAGAAGGGGTTGGTGACACTCATCGACACACACACACACACACACACATCTCCCATAATCTGTCGCGCATCCCTCTCTTTCAACACTGCCTTGCGCATCACCCCCCTATCACACACACACACACACACACACACACACACACACACACACACACACACACACACACACACACACACACAAACACACACACACACACACACACAAACACACACGTACAATGATCATACACATTCTCTGCCATCAGTTCCTGTGCCAGTCTCTGTGCCAGGGACACTGCTGCAGTCATCAAAGCAGGCGCCACCGGAGAGATACTGCTCGTTGGTGCACACCGTGCAGTACATCGCACCGACGTCGCTCACGAGGCAGTCGCGGCAGTTGGATGGACACGTGCACGAGCTGCCGTCTGGGAACATGCCATCCTCGCACTGCTCCCCATCAGCACAGCTTCGCCCAAAGGAGCCTGTTCCCTGAGGAAACGTGTCTCTGAACGTGTCGCAGTTGTCGTGGCACTCGCCGTCGTACAGGTATTTCGAATCCTGGCACAGCGTGCACGCGACAACAGTCCCGTCACTCGCCACCTCGCACACAAAGCACGAGTCGTCCATGCAATCGCACGAATCGCCGGCACTCGTGGTCCCACCGAGACAGTCAACAGGCGCCTCTGTAGTGGTTGTCGTAGTCGTGGTTGTCAGTGGGGTCGTCGTTGTAGTTGTGGTCGTGGTCGTGGTGGACGTTGTCGTGTCGTTGCTCACCATCACGCACCGGTTGCCTAGGAATGACGTACCAGACTCCGTCTTGTCGGGGAACTGCGAGCAATCGGCGTGGCACGTGCCTTCGTTCAGGTAGTGGAAGTTGGTGCACAACACACAAGTGGATGCGTTGCCCTGGTTCTCGCACGTGAAGCAGTTGCTGTCCGCACACGTGCACGGCTCATCCGTTTCCATGTCAGTGCCACCAACGCACGTCGACACGTCTTCTGTTGTTGTAGTTGTAGTTGTAGTTGTGGTTGTAGTTGTTGTAGTTGTAGTAGTAGTTGTAGTTGTTGTCGTTGAGGTGGTGGTTGTAGTAGTTGTAGTCGTTGTTGTAGTTGTAGTCGTTGTTGTAGTTGTAGTTGTTGTAGTTGTAGTCGTTGTTGTAGTTGTAGTTGTTGTTGTTGTTGTTGTTGTTGTTGTTGTTGTTGTTGTTGTTGTTGTTGTTGTTGTTGTTGTTGTTGTTGTAGTCGTTGTTGTTGTTGTTGTTGTTGTTGTTGTTGTTGTTGTTGTTGTAGTTGTAGTTGTAGTTGTTGTTGTAGTAGTTGTAGTTGTGGATGTTGTTGTCGCTGAGGTGGTGGTTGTAGTGGAGGATGATGACGACATCGAAGTTGATGTTGATGTTGATGATGAAGATGACGACGATGCACTCGATGATGTGGATGAGGATGTGGAGGACGACGAAGAAGAGGAGGAAGAAGTCGAGGATGATGACGAGGAGAGGGTTGTCGTGGTCGCGGTCGTGGTTGTGGTGGTCGGTGGTGACAGGGTGATGGAGCCGCTCCCTGAGTCCGTCGTCGACGTGGTCGTCGTTGTGGTCGTGCTCGCGGTGGTCGTCGTGGTTGTTGTTATGGTCGTGGTCGTGGTCGTGGTTGTCGTAATCTCCAACATTGTTGTCGTGGTAGTGGTCGTTGTTGTGGTTGTTGTGGAGGATGAAGAGGTGGAGGAGGAGGTGGATGAAGAAGTTGATGAAGAAGTTGATGAAGAAGTTGATGAAGAAGTTGATGAAGAGGTGGAGGTGGATGTGGATGAAGACGTTGAAATGGAGCTTGATGTGGAGGTGGATGTGGATGACGACGTAGAAGCAGAGGTGGATGTGGAGGACGAGGTGGAGGATGACGTTGAAGAGGATGTGGATGACGAAGTCGATGAAGAAGTGGAAGCAGAGCTGGAGGATGAAGAGGACGTTGAAGAAGACGTGGACGACGAAGAGACAGTAGTCGTTGTTGTTGTTGTTGTTGTTGTTGTTGTTGTTGTTGTTGTCGTCGTGGTGGTGGTGGTGGTTGCGACAGGAGCAGCCACCATCACTTGGAACGTGTCGACATTCGTCTGCCCAGGGCCCTGGTTCTCAATACGAATGCGAAGCTGCTCACCGGTGTAAGTGGCGGCAGATGGAACCTCAAAGAAGAACTCCTGCCGGATGAACGCGCCCTGCTGCTGCGCATTCGTCGACACGCAGTACGAGGCCACGTTCACGAGCGAAGGCACAGCCACCAAAGAAATGCACGGCGAGCCAGCCTGCTGCAGGTCCATGCGCCAGCCCACCGAAAACGACACATACAGCGTGTCGAGGGCCACAAACGTGTAGTTGGTGTCCTGGCGAACCAGGGCATTCTGCAGCAGGAACAGAACCTGATCGCCAGCGACGCTGGACACGGGTGGTGGGTATGCCTCTGGTGTGATCTTGAACACGCCCGCGGTTGGCGTGAAAATCACCCAGCCATCAATCTCCGTCACGAACGCAGATGACCCAACATCTGGCGCCTCGAAGGACGGGTTTGCAATGTCCACATCCTCAAACGCAGCACCAGTCGATGTCGTCGTCGCATTGGTGGACGTCGTGGTGGTCGTGGACGTGGTCGTGGACGTGGTCGTGGACGTCGTGGTTGTTGTTGTTGTTGTTGTTGTTGTTGTTGTTGTTGTTGTTGTTGTTGTTGTTGTTGTTGTTGTTGTTGTTGTGGTGGTGGTGGTAGTCGTTGTGGTGGTAGTCGTTGTGGTTGTGGTGGTCCAAGGGTTGGGGTACACTGCGAGTGCATCGCACCAGTACACGCGTGCGTCTGTGACGGTGGCCATCAGCGTGGGCTGCACACCGCCGTGCGCGCCAACTGTCAGGAGACACATGGCGCCCAACGCCGGGTCGCACGCCTGCACGCGTGTGCCGAGCTGGCGGGTGGTGTTGGTGGCTGGATCGCCGTCAACCTGCAGCGTTGCCGCTTCACCGTCAACACTCAGCAGCAGCGCGTGTAGCCGCAGGTCAGCGAGTGCGGCGGTGGGGAACGATACAATGCGCGCAACGTTGTCGCTCTGCGCCATAAACGTGAACCGAATGGCGGTGGCAAACGCATCGTACGACACGTGCCAGTACGTGTTGCCACGCATGTCTGTCTTGCTCACCAGGCTCTGGTCAACAGCCACGGAGGAGAAGCGCAAGGCAAATGCAATGCTGAAGCGATCCGACACCTGCGAGAATTGCGTAATGGTGAGGCCGCGCGTTCCGTTGAACACATACGCCCCTCGACTGGTCGGTCGCACGGCACCGTCGTTGCTCAGCGGATCAAGCATGTTCGTCACTGCAACAGGACACGGCTCACTTGTTGTTGTTGTTGTTGTTGTTGTTGTTGTTGTTGTTGTTGTTGTTGTTGTTGTTGTTGTTGTGGTTGAAGCAATTGTGCTTGTGGTGGTAGTTGTTGTTGTCGTGGTGCTTGTTGTGCTTGTCGTCGTCGTCGTCGTCGTCGTAGTTGTGGTTGAAGGAACCGAGGTTGTAGTCGTTGTGCTTGTGGTCGTGCTGGTCGTGCTTGTTGTAGTCGTAGTAGTTGTCGTTGTTGTTGTTGTTGGTGCACATACTCGGATGTAGTCGCTGCAGCAGTCACCGAGGAGCACGCATTGGGAGTCGCAGAAGCAGACCGAGCTTGGTTGCGGAATTTCGTTGCAGCGGTTCACGCACGATGTTGGGGATCCCGTGCTTGGTGCCGTTGTGGTGGTGGTCGTGGTGGTGGTGCTTGTACTGACGCTAGCGCTCTCTGTGGTCGTTGTTGTTGA